AGGAATGAAACAGCATTAGTGTTACAAGTACAGCACACAACTTGTAACTTACCGACTCTACCCCTGGTTAAAATTAAAGCCCGAAAACAACAAATCCCCCCATCCGCGGCAAAATTTCGGGCCACCACAACTCTCCCAGATAGAAATGTATACTCCAAATCTTGGGTAGCTATAAGTTATAACATAAGTTAATCCCCATTTTAAATTCATACCATCCAGCAATCAAAAAGTAGTGTACCTTTTTTCTCTCTTGTCCCCCTTTATTTGCAGTTCTTCACTGGGAAGAAGTCGAGTTGCCCACCCAATACTGCTTAACAGCAACGAGTATTTTCTCAGGAAGTAGAGGACCGTCTTCATGATCCATCATTTTGGAGTTCCATTTCATACCTCCAATCATCTTTTTCACTTTCACGAGTACATCAACCTCGTCCCTGAATATAACTGCCCCTTCTGGTCGTAAAATACGGTCCATCTCTAACAAAATGTCCTCAAAATCACATCTGTTGCATTCATTCATTTGGAGAAAAAATAAATAAAATCATTTTCCATTATTTTCCTACAGTCCATATATGGAAACACTTGAGTGCATAGNNAAAACAAATTGGTGTCAAATAGTTTTATTATGGAACAGTTATATCTTAGAAGTAACATAATCTTGCAATCTATTTGTACCTTTAAAATCCCTTTCACTTAATGTGGAAATTTATATGGAACATGTGCCCGAACAAAAGGTCCATTCAGGGAATGATAGCAGAAATCAAGGGATGCAGAAAACTTACTTGTCCTTGTACAAGCTAAAGACACCATTCGCATGAATGAGATCATATGTCCTTGGATACGTGGAGAAGCCTTCACACCTAAACAATAATATACACAATAAGCACAAGAGTAATCAACAAAAATGCGGGGCCAATTTTCAATATGGCCATTACACCCCAAACAATACATCTTTGCAGATCAAGTTAGGTCTACAAACTCTGCTACATCATAAAGATAAAAATATAATATTCTTCTCGTTGCAGCTACCTATGGTCTACTGCAAGCTACAATTGAAAAATGCTTGCAAGGCACTAGAAAACGGTGATAAAAGATTGCATACCAGTCATGGTATATGCCGATCAACCCTCGTTCATAAATAACACCAAGGGTGTTTTTCTTGGAAATGGTGGGCACAACATTCATTACCCACAACTTTGGAGATTGAAGTGCAGCAGCAAATCCTCCCAATCCGGCATTCATATCCATAATGTTCCGGTACCTTCCAGAATCAAGAATCTGGTTAATCTTTTTGTATGCACTAACATGTTTTTTCCACTGCTTGTTGTCTTCCTGGTATGCTTCCACAGAAACTCCAGGAACTGAGCCACTCGCGATTCTTGGGGGAACAGCATAAAGCCTCTCGGGAAACGGTTTTAGTTCATCATCATTGGAATTGTCGTATGGAGTAATACATTGCTCCATTTTCTTGTACCTGAGGGTAAAAAAAAAAAAAAAGAGGAACCATTTAGACATTTGCATCACTGCAAATTCAGCCATATGTGAAGAACTATGTGCCACAATACATGTAGAGATAATTACAAAATTTACACAAGTATAAGTAATTACAGGAAGACCCAAAAATGTATATTAAAACAAAAGGGGTATTTTCTTAAGATGGTATAAAGGAGACTTTTGAAATGATTTTTGCTCGCAAAGGTAAAAATAAAGGACAGATCAAATCTCCAGCAGATTATTCTCGTTTTGATACATCGTTAGGTTATTTAATAAATACTTGATACAAGGCTGGGTTATGTAATTATTGCTCACACCAGCATATGCACCCGTAAGAGGGAAAGAGAAACTATTAAATTTTACTATATATATATATATATATATATAGTTCATTACTAACTTAATCATACCAGACATCATCTGCATCTTCAGATTTACAAAACGAAACTCCTGAGTTTTCTTGCTTGGCACGACAATCAGCAGAATCCATTGTCTTCTGCCAAATGGCAATTTCACCTTTCTCGGACTTTTTCTCCCAGCACAGAAGTTTAGCAGCCTCTTCAATCTTTCTTTGTTCTTCCTCAAGTTCCTCCATTGGGCGTTGCCATGGCTTGTAATTTATCTTCCAGTTGATGGGAGGGCCAGAAAGCACCCAATAGCCACCAGGTCTAAGCACACGATCAACTTCCTTCATATAAAGTCCATCTGCCAACATAAATTACCAAATTACATAATATCTTTGGCATAATCTGTCCATTATTCATGAAATGTGACCAAAATTGTAACAAATTTATAGACAAAGAAAGATACAAGATAATACTTTTCACTTACCGTTTATCCCCCAAGGTATGAGACAACGTGAGCAGTGAGCCATGTCAAAGGCTCTAGATGGGTAGGGCAATTTAATGGTGCCGAAAACACCGATGACAGCTGGCACACCCCTTTCAAGTGCAAACTGAACCTGGGCTTCATGTGAATCTCTTGGCGCAAAAGACATAGCTATCACATTTCTCTTCCATAGATACGCACCCCAACTAGCCACCTAAAACATGTAAATTGAAAATTAATCACAGACAACAAAAAACTATTCCTACAAATCCAAAAATAAACGGTAAATTATAAAAATACTCCTGAGATTTTTAACTTGGTAACAAATATAACCACAAAAACCCCCCATGACACCAAAACCTTAAAACGGGTGCTTGTCACAAAGTCAGACAGAATTTGCAATTTTTTCATTTTTTTTTTTATTTGGCTAAACATCAAGGAAAAATTCATATATAACTCTCAATTACAACAGAAAACCAATCAACGTACCCCACAACCAGTGTCCAGAGCTGTCCTGACAATCCCATTCTCAATCGGCACAACCGAAGCAAGCTGGTCAATATACTTATCAGCCCCTTGAGGAAACTGAGTACCTCCACCAGGAAACCTGAACACATTCCCTTCATACTGAATCCAGTTCTGAATAGCCTTCTCCACCGTCAAGCTCTTGTAAGGAGCATTCGCATACGGCACATAATCCCGACTCTTTGGCCATCGAAATGGAGTCACATAGCCTTCGGGCGCCGGAATAAGACAGTGAAGCTTCTCCTCTTGCGGAGGGCAATGCCTTTCACGGTATATCATGTTTTCTCTCGGAAAAGTCATTGCTCGTCCCTGATCCTGGCATGGGGTGTAGTCAGTGAACCGAGTTTGGCAAGGCTCGTAAATTTTCGCTTGTGAATCTGAATCTTCTATTATCCCGGCCTCTCCACTGTGGTGGGTCTCGAAGTTGAGGTTCGGGAGAATGTTGCAGTTTTCTCCACTTTTGGTCATCTCGACTGCTATACTGTCCCCTTTTCCGAATCCACTACGCTGCCATGCTCCGAGTAGGTAGAAGAAACAGCAGAGGCCGGCTACTATGAAGATAGAGACTGAGCTTCTAGTCCTACTGTCAGACGAATTGAACTTGTTCGCCATAATGAGCCTGAAAAAGCATTTATTGCTAGGATTTAGAAAAAAGGAGGAATAGAAAGTAGTTTAATTTTTACTTTCTTGGCGAAATTCGAAATCATCAAACGTACAAAAGGCAAGAAATGGCATATACTTGCAAAACCAGTGACATAATTAGTCATCGATTTGGAAACTCGATTTAGATATCAAAGCTAGTTACAAGCAGGCAATGGCTCTCTAATGATGAGTGGTTTACCACGCCTCAGTAAAGAATTATAAAATGCATAAGTAAAATCTTGTTGGAGTAGAATTTTTTTCTGACTTGGAAGGTCAGGGCAGCTGCTGATGAGTTTTATATATGCTATTGAGTTAGATAGATGCAACATAACCAAGATCTGTACATTGACTCAACGCAGATTCAGCAGATCTAGATGTCAAAGAAATAAAAGAGTCTTTTTTTGCTTCAACTTAAAACCAAAACAAAATGAATTAAATACTAGCGGGGAATCTATATAGTGATCCAAGATTCGAGCAGCCATGATATTGCCTGAACACACCAAAAATTAAAAAAGGTCCAAACCTCTCAAATCAAGCATAACATTAGCATTACAAAGGAGGAAACATTAACACAAGATTTGAGCATACGCATCTCAAGTACTACTAGACCATAAAATTGTGCAACGAATCATAACGAACACAACCCACGTAAACAATAAGTCAATAACAAGCACCTAATTGCTTAAAGTTGGTAAACAAACGAGAAAGAATAAAAACAACAAAGAGAACTCTATAATTCATCAGATAAAACGTTAAACGCAACTGAAAAGAAAAAAGAAAACAGGGGATTCCTAATTTGGTCGAAAGATAATAGGATAATAAATAAATGTGATACCAAATGCATCAGGTGATGCGAATCCTGGTCCCGAGATCTAGAAATGCTGCCCGCCTCTTTATATGTTATCCCCTTCAGTCGGTTTGCAGATCCGATCAATAGCGACGAATAAAGATCTGGATTTGATGTCCCTGAAAATGATTTGACAGTGTGTACCTATGAGAATATATATACACAAAAATATAGAGAGAGGAAAGGGAGAGAATGAGCATTAACTTCGATGTTTTTCTTGTACGCACGAACAAAGATCTTAATTAATTAAAATCTGGGGTCGGTGTGTGTTTTCGTACTTTAGAGTTTAGACGCGCCAATCATGACAGGATGGCTCCAATTTTTGTCTTAATTATGATGCAATGTCAAATGTCATTATAGGGCGGTAACATAGAAGTAAGACCTCATATTGGAATTGGAATCGCATTCTCACCAATTTATTTATTTATTTTATATAAAAATCCCTCAAATTTAAATAGGCCTAGTATTTTTTTTTTTTTTTACATAACTAGTCAAACTTTTAACTAATATAATTTTTCAAAATATATATATAATTTTAGTTCAAAATGTTAAAAGGGGGCGATTGGATATAAATTGAATAAAAAAAAAAACAAATCAAAACTCAAATTTAATTCAACTTTAACTCAACTCCACTATCCTCAATATTATCAATATAATTAAATAATATCAACCAATCATTCTTGCACATCACATCAACTTTAACTCACTATTCATCCACTCACATAATTTTAACTATCACTTCCAATCATTCTTCTCCTACTTTACATCAAATCAACTTTAATTATTTTAATTAAATATTATTTTAATATATTCACTAACAATTAACCATACCACCTTTTTTTAAAAATTAACTATAGTTAAAATCAAACCAAATAAAAACTAGTTGAATCCTTAAACAATCACCCCCTTAGTGCTGCAAAAAAAGGGAAGCCCGTAACCTCTAAGTTCAATATCAATTCATGGAACTGGTCAATTCTAAAAGTCGGACCTCGCTGCCAAAGGCACAAAAGATAACAAACTTGGGCTTGAATTGGCCTAACTAAGTGGCCCAGCTGAGGTGGGTGGCTCGGGTAGAACTGGGCATGCTAGGAGAACTGTTTCTTGAGCTTTTTCTTGACGAACTCATGGTACGCGCGGCCGCGCCTTCCATTTCTCGGCAAGACTTGAATCCCATTGGAATTAATAATGGTTATTATTCGTATTCTATTATGTAGCTACAGTTATTCATACTTTCAGTTAACTTATGTTAGCTTCTGGTATTTGATAATTGGGTTCGGTAATTTCGGTATTAAACTGAAATCGTATCGAGTTTTGGGTTACCGAAAATTTGATAATCGGTTGGTCGATTCGGTTTTGATTTTACATTTCATTGTTATCAAAACTCTCGGTTCGATATCGGTAATCCCATGTATTTCGGTTCGGTTATCGAATTGAACCTACCCTTAATTACAAATTATTTTCCTGATCAGTTTCTATATAAAAAAGAAAAATCCACTCTCTAGTCAAATAATAAGGCCAAAATAATTGGTTCCTCTAAAGTTAAAAGGCGATTTTGTCCCGATACCTATAGGCTGAATAAGGGGTACACATTTTCTTTCACAAAAATACATGTTTTTTTTAAGAGTGCCTTAAGTTGTAAAATTTCATGTAGTACCCGGTTTCTTTATGTTTAGTACCTGAAATTATTCTGAGAGTATGCTCAACATAAAATGTTACCAGAGTTTAGGTTTTATTAAGAACACTTGGATGAATTTATTACATGGTAATTAAATTTTTGGTGAGGAGAAATATATAAAAAGAAAAAAAAAAAGATAGTGAAGAGAAATTTTTTTAGAATGTGTATGTTGTGATAAAAGAGAACATGTCGCCCTTATATAAGGCTTGATACTTTAGGGCCGAAGAGAGTTCTTGTTGGGGAAGAGATCCAACCAGATTCTACTTTATTAACTTACCACGTCTCTATATTGGTGAGAGTCCTTGAACAAATGATTCTTTCCTTCTTGTTTAGATTCTTCCCCCCTTCATTGTTTTAGCCTATAGATCCTTAGGTCGTAATTTCGACCTTCTGACCTGTCTGCCATGGCCTTCCCGAGGGCGTACCTGACCTTGTCTTGAGTTCTAGACTGACCTCGTCCTTAGGTCCAATCTGCCCTCAAACTACCCAACTCTGATACCTCGAGATCAGTTACTTTGTCGGGCTCTTGGAGGCTGGTACCTCCCAGGTCATGTCTTTTCTGGGAGCTCGGAACTTTAAGCCCATTTTCGAGCTACATGACCGAACATCTCACCTGTGTAGGCATGAGAGCTCTTTCAGTCCGGAAATAATGGAGTTGTCTGCTCAAATCGTTCTACCGAGCTACTTCTGAGCGTTATATCATCTAGTCCCCCCCTCCCTCCCAATT